TTTGGGGCTCATTCAATTACCCCCTTCATCAGGGTTTGTCCAGTGTGTGAGAATGCATAAAGCTCCTCGCCATCTGACTTGGCAGCCGAGAAATTTAGGAAATTCCTCTTCTCTTCTCCATTAGTAAATCATCCCAGTCATGTCCATACACTAACATATCATAGGTATTGTGCAGTGTCTGTATTGCAGTAGCTCCACAGCTCTCCATAGAAAGATAAAGCCTAGAGTGCAAATGTAGAATCCAGATATGCACATTCTACCCATATCCGCATGTCCGCATGTAAGTGGCAGTATTCTGCTGGTTTGACAGACTTGTACATATCTCATGTGCTGGTAACAAATTCCTCAAAGCTCTTTTTACTTTAGAGGACACTTTGCTGTTCCAATGTCTGACACAGAAACTTTTTTTTTTTTTTTAATTCCTAAAATTACACTCTTGATTATACTGGATTTTTTTATATGGCCACCTATACAGGAGACTATAGTCATCCCGCTTTATGACTGAGTCTGCATTTAACCCTTGCTGTGCGGGGGTAGCTCCACTGCATGTTGTTGAAGGATTCCACAATGGCCTTCATAGAATTTTTAAAGAGGAACTCCAGGTAAAGAAAAAGCACATGCAGTGGGGCTACCCCCGCCCTGCAAGGGTTAAATGCTCGTTTTGTCTAGAGGGGTCAAAGCAGGCTTGCTTACCTGACCCTCAGTGGTATGCCAGTCAGCGCTCAACTCTCTCCCCCTTCGCTTTAGCTATGGAATATCTTTCGCCATCCTCACGTAAAATGCAAGTCAATGGACCTGCATTAGACGTGATGACAACAGCGGCTCTTAGACCACTAGATTCCAAGGCAGAAGTGGCTGCATGGACCGGTCTAGCAGTCTTCATGGATCAAGTGAGTTATACAGCTAAACAAAATGAGCACTTAAAGCGTATCCAAACCCAATAAAAAGAATAATATATATTGCAGCTCATCAGTCCTTCTAATATGGTGGTTGCATTAGTTTTTTCATTTTTATTTTTTTTCCCCCCATTGTTCTTTTCACTTGGTGAGCCAGCCAGTAACAAACCTTCCTGTCTTAGGGTGGCTCCACTCTATGGAAGAACAGAGCCACCCTTGGACAGCAGCATTGTCATCCACCCTGTGGAGTATCTGAATAGCCCGTATAGCAGCCCTTCGGTTCGACTGAACCGAAGGGCTCCGGCGGCCAAAGTGAGCGAAAGGATCAGCCGAAGCTACCGCTAGATCCTTCGGCTCCTTCGTAAATAACCCTCTTAGTGATCACGTTCTCTGGGTCCCTTCAGACACCTGCATTTTTTATGTCAGTTTTGAGAAAGGTCTCTCTCGCTTCCCATTGACTTACATTTTATACTGGGTTTCAATTAGGTATTTGGGCAAGTACTCATGCTTGCCCAAATGCTCCCGATACTGAAACTTCCGGTTTCAGGAAGCCGTCACTTTATGAAGAGGGAGCATGGAGCCGGCTTCCCGGCCAATCGGAAAGCCGGGCAGCATGTAATGACTCGCCGCCCGGCTTCCTGATTGGTGAGGAAGCTGGCTCCATGCCTCCTCCTCACCTGGTGTTATCCGTACTCGTACTTGATAGTGAAAAAACAGTATCGTCTGTGCATCCCGAGTTTAAATTTACCCCGATTTTTCTATTTACAACCATTCTCTCAGGAACCTAATTCCAGCATTAATGGCTACCTGTACAGTGTTGTCCTTTTTATAAAAGGAAGAAACTAACACAAAGCCCTCCTTTTTTTTTTTGTTTTTTTTTTGTTTTTTTTACCCTTTCTCGCTTTTAGTCACATGGACGTTTTTTTAAACGTTTTGAGTCTCTTCATTTTTTCAGTAAACATATTTGTTCTTTTGTCTCAGAAGGATCTGTAGTCAATAGATGTCACTAGAAACATCTACCTGAACACCTGCAATTTGTCGCCTGTTTTCAGACAAATTATGTTATCACGCCAGATAATTTAGAAAAGCATATGTAATTCACAGAAGTATTTACTTTACCTAGAGGAATTATTTCAATATCTGGTACCCTCATAAATTTTATAGTTGTAAATTTAAAGTGTTGTTAAACTGTCGTGCCATACATCATTCTTTTGTTGTTGTCCACATTTGTCTCTGCATTCTTGCAGCACAATCTTCAAATCAAATGTATGCCCCTGGTATATTCACCTATAAGGTGGCTCCACTGCCATGTAGGGTCTCCCTGGAGACACCATGACCTGCATGCTCCCAGCTGGGACTTCTGTTTGGGAGGAGGAGGGACTGCAATTAGAGAAGGCACTAATGCATAGTATGGCTGAGTGCAACTAACCATGGGATCTCTAGTCCTAATGCATATGTCCATCTGACGGTACATGTTTGGGAGGGAGGGGAGTCTGGGAATGAGGCATCATGCGACATGTAGTCCCAAAGCAGGAGATGACCTGACACTGCATTGAGCTCTCCCCTATCTGGACATTTGGGGAAACAGCGCTCTGTGATGTAGATCAGATGGCACTGAGTTGACAAAATTTAAGTGTTTGCACACACATTTGCTGTAATTAATGTACTGGGGAATGTTTCCCTGATTTGTTACAATGCAGTCATTCAAAAAAGCTTAAAGGAGGACTATGAGGTGAGTGTTTTTTCACTCACCTCATAGTTCTAGCCGACCTGTGACAATGAGACTGTCACAGGTCGGCTCAGTAGATCGGTAAGTGAGCAAACACATACCGGCGTTTGCTCACTTCTCGATCCTGTCACGGCATTCTGCCGTGACAGGGGAGGGGCTGGATTCCCCGCTCCTCCAGCGCTGACTGGCAGAACGGACAGGAGAGGGGGCGGGTACAGCTGGCTCTGCCTCTAGATAGGCAGAGCCAGCTGTCACTCACGCAGCTGGGCGGATCCAGACATAATTGTCGGGATCCGCTTCAGCTGCGGCGTCTTAGTACACCGCGAGCTGTAGCTCGCGGTATACTGAGTTTAGGGTGACGGGAGGACGCTAGTTTGTGTCCTCCCGTTACCTTAAGTAGAACTATGGGGAAAAGCCCTAACCCCATAGTTCTCCTTTTTAAGGTAAAGTCCACTTTTTGAAAAGAAAAAAAAATGTGCACTTCTTCATAAAAGAAAAAAGGTGCATGTAATTATAATAGTAATAATAATAAAAAAAAATTTGCATTTGAGCCATTAAAGCGTTGCATCCGCGATCAGTAGATTAAGGGGGCAATGCATTGGCTTTTGAAGACCCCTCCTCCCATCCATGTACAGGAAGAATGAATGGACTACAAGTGAAGTGACTTACCTTGCTTGTATTCCATTCAGAAATACAAGTCCCTCTGCAGTTGAGGCTGACTTGTAGTTTCTTAATTTACAGATCCTGTCAAAGGATCTGTAAATGGATGATGCAGTGGTGTGGGAGGAACCACTCCTAGACATGCCAAATTCAAAATACAGCTACAGCCTGCGGGGAGAAGAGGTTGCGCTTCAGGTAAGTAGGGGGGCAGGTTGAGGCGGTGGTAGCTGATGTGACCATGTTTCAAGGTACACCCAGAATATGGTCCCAAATGTAAACTTAGCCTTAAATACTACTTTAATAATCCTGCTGGTAGATAAGAATATAATTGTTGTTGTTTTTGGAAAGGTTTTGCATATAAAAGATCTCTTACAAGGAAACATATATTTAACAAATCTAGCAATCGCTGTTTTATATCTATCGGTCGCGTGGCAGTACCAGATGTTGGATGTGTACAGGATGACATACTTTACAACATAGCCTGGCAAAGATGAACACATTCCGACCATACTGATCATCACCGATAAGACACAATGTCATCCCTTCCACCAGAACTGCAAGTTGTCATCTCCATCTAAACCACTCCTGCTTTCTGGCAAACTTTGATGTGTATATAAACGGAGTTTGTTAGGTGATGCTTGATGTAATTAGGAAACCAGAATAGCAACGCTGTGTATAAATGGCACATTCTTATATCTGAGTGTGATGTTTATACTGTATAATTAGTATGCGTTTAGATTTTACCAATAACTGATGGAAATATTTTTGATTATTTTCTCATGCTGTTAATCTGAGGTTATCTGATTTTTATCTTTTATTTTTTTTTATGGGAATCCTATATTGTAAATTGGTCATTCTTATTTCTGTTTATAATCTTATAATCTATTTATAATCTTATCTATTTCATATTATCTTTTTATTTGTAGAAAATGTTTATTTTATTTTTTTAAACCAAACATTTTAAAGTGACATTAAACCCTCAGATTTTTTAACATAAACCAATACTGTAATGTGTGCCTTACTGTAATCCATGGTAGTTTCCTTTCTCTTTGCTGCTCTTCCTTTTAAATCCTCATGTCTTCTCATGCTAGGGGAGAACTTCCCTTTGCAGCTGACTGCCTCTTCCTGTAGTGCTGGCTCAGGTTGCAAACCTATACACAGACACCATGTAGCCATTCCAGAGACAAGGCAGTCTGCTGCAAAACAGAAGTTCTGCCCAGCATGAGAACATATACAGATTTAAAAGGAAGAGCAGCAAAGAGAATGGAAACAACCATGGATTACAGTAAGGCACACATTACAGTATTGTTTTATGTTAAAAAAATCTGAGGGTTTAATGTCACTTTAATACAGGATGTTTTGGTGTTTATAGTGAATGCTGTTTTTTGTTTGAGAAAGCCCAGCACTAGCTCTGCAGTTGTTGACTATTGTGCAGGCTGAACATCTAAACAGCAGCCTCACTTCTGTCCAGGATAGGAGGAGGTGGTCTTTCCGTCATCTGTGTGATTTTTTTTTTTTTTTTTAGCTGTATGTGCCTAACCTAACGTCTTACTATATTGGTCTGTATTCTTAACACAGCAGTACAATACTCTCTCTTTCCACCTGCAGGTTGCAAACTTATATACAAATATTTATATGTTGAAAACAATGTGCATTCACTTTAAAATGGAAGACTTTTTTTATTAAGTTTGTAAACACATCTTCTTCTTCTAAAGGTTTAAACGAGTCCCCAGTAGGAAAAGAGACTTTGGATGCCTTGATGATCTTGGCCTTCTCAGAAAATGCTGATCTACAACATTCTGCTGCCCTTTACTACTTGCATATGAGCCAGCATAGTAAGTGTCCAGATACTTTAATATACTTTGTAATATACCATTGTCACAGAATAGATCCAGTGCTTACTTTTATATAGCAATTTCCAAATGTGGAGTACAGTATTGAAGGAGTTGTAGTCCCACCATATACTATCCTGTTATAACATCAGCAGTGTAATAAACAACTATAGTTTGTGTTTCTATGATAATGCAATCAAAACTTTAAAAGAAAAAAATCATTTTTATGTAGTGAGTGCTGCCTTCTGTCTGCCCCTCACTTTACAACCACTTCCTAAATTCTCAGTGAGCTTTGCATCTCTTTGCCTGCTACTTAATGTGATGCAATCTCGATTTCTCAAGACTACATATCCCATCATCCATTGTTTCCAGCAAGCGATGAACATGTTACATTGTGGGAAGTTCAGATGTTGAGTTGTACTTCAGACGGCAGGCTAAGTTAGAATGGTGACACAGAGAAGGCACTATTCACAGGGCTAATTTAAATTGTGTCACTGCATTGAGGAATTATGAGCATCTTCTTTAAATTTAGACTTCTCGATGGATATGGTTATTAGGAGTGGGATAGAACGTATGGAAACTCAATATAGAAATGCATATTGATTTTTAGTTTTTGACCATAGATACCCTTTTGTTTTAATGTCGCTAGGAATAGGTAGTTTAGGCCAGTGTGCTGATATTGTATTGTAACTGCAGGATTATGCAGTTTGTCATAGGCATTTGCTCTAAAATGCATAAAAAAAGCTTTGTATACTAAACTGCCTTAACCTGATGTGGCATTAAATCGTATTTCACTTGCCTATCTCATCAGTGAATACACAGCTGCCAGCAGAGTTCTTGGAGCCATATCAGCCTTTGCTACAGTCTGGTGACCTGGAGGTTCAACAGATGTCTTCCTTGTCTCTTGTGAATTTTCTTCTTGAAGGAAACTGTAAGTGGTCATTACAAAATAACTGTCTTTATTTAAACTGCTTAAATATTGCCATTTATGCATATTAGAAAATATAGTTTTCTAAAGATGGAAGGACCAAACAAAGTGTCAGTTAATATGGCATTACAGTGATGCTTAACTCAGGAGTCCAATCCTAAAAAAGTATTCAAGTACCTTTTTAACTATTAACAAAAATGTTTCTTATTTGTCTATGATTCGGCTGTAGATCCTCAAATCATCTCTGAATTCATGCTGACACTGTTCTTCCTTCTGCAGGGTGGCTACTTTTGTTCCCCATGGTCCCTGTGTGTGTTGTAAAGTAGCCACCGCTCCAAGCTCACTATTGTGATGAACTACAATCTCAATACAAATACATAAACTGAATGTGAGGTTGTAGTGACTATGGGGAACATGCTTTAGCCATAATGGGATGACACCTTCGTGTATCGGTTTCTGAATATATAGGCAAGAGCGGATTCTTGATGTGACAGTCATTTAATTCCTACAGTCTTCAAGGCTTCAAATCCAAGCTTATACTTTATTCTTGTAGTTGAACTTGTATGCTCGTGTAGCACAAATATAGTGTGACTAGTTCTCCAGTAAGATTTGAGAACACTTTTTTTTCTTTGTAGGTAAATGTATGATCATTATACCTTACTGTTTTTATTTTTGTGTACAGTGAATAAGGAGCTTGTTGTCCAGGTGGGATTGCTTGAGCCAATACTTGAGCTGCTGGAGTCAGGGGATTCCGCTGTACAGTGTAACTCCTGCGCATGCATCATGACTTTGGCCATCTCTGGTGAGCAGTAGATACCCACCATTGTGTGTGTGTATGTAACTATTTTCATACTCTTTACTTCATTATTTCAACTTATTTTTCTGTGGTCATTTTTCCACAACTTTAACATACTGAACTGAAAAGCATGAGGGCAAATGTATAAATGTAGCTATGTACCGATTGCATATACTGTAATAAAATCTAATTTTCAATGTATGTTTTATTTTTCAGAATCAAACCGGGAGGCCATTGGTATTGCTGGAGGGATCCTTCCTCTTCTCACATTGGCAAAATCTTATGATCCCAGAGTCCAGCAGAACGCTGTTGGGGCTATTCTGAACTTGACTCGATCAGGTTACTATACATATGTTTCCTAGTGAATGTGGTGTATGGGTGAGGTAGTGCTAGAACTTGTTGGTGGTGAGTGTGTCTGTGGCAGCTCAACTCTTGGAGGGTCCTGTAAATGTAGGTAACTTAAGCATGTTAGGATTGTGGCAGCTGGTGATGATTAAAATTGAAAGTCTTGAAGACCCCAGCCAGTCGAGGAAATATTATCACTATTAGTGTTTTGAAGTAAAAGATAGCCAATGGGTTATGGGGGATTGAGGATCTTCTTTAGGGTTTTGGTATTGTTAGATCTGTTGGCTGTGTGCACTACAGACTGTGTTCCTTACTCCAAATTGGTTTTGGCCAGCCTTAGTCCAGCTAAGTTATCCATATTGTATAAGCAACATCTGAACTGTAAAGCCAGACATACATGGCCAATCCAAACATCAGACTACAAGTGTCCAAAATCTGCAAACGGTCTTAGATCAGTAGTAGCTGTGTAGAATTGTCTCTACAAGTAGTGGATTTGTTCACTTTTTATTTAATTTATGTTGTTAAATGGGAGTGATTGCTGGGCAGTAACAGAGACTTCCCACTATGTGTGGTCTGTGGTCCATGTGGAAACAATCACTAACTATTAATTATTGGAAGCATTGCTTTAGCTATCTTGCAGATATCAGACTCTTTATAACCAGTGAACCTGTGTCTAGGCTTTGGTCAATCAAGTATTTTGACAGCTGCTCCTGCTATCTAAGAAGAAATCACTGTTAATTATCTGTATTTGTGGCAAAGTAGTGGTAGCAGGGGAAGAGGTGCAGGATGTACGAGATGCTTCCTTGAAACTTTGTTGAATTTGTTTAGGGTGTATCTCCTACTTCCAAGGTCCTCAGGTGGTTGAAACAAGCCGTCGCTGATCTATGTAGCTGCATGCACTGTGGAGCAATTTAACTTCAAAGTTCACAACAGAAATAATGAAATAATTGTCTAAGCTGCCACAGCGGTGTGAACTGAGCTGCAAATAGAACTGAGTAGAGCTCAACTTTAGTGCTTCTTTAACTACCTTACGTCCATGGCCGTTTGTGAACGGCCAGATGGACGTCTGCTCAGAGCGGGAGGGCGTCTTAAGACGTCCTGCCCCTCCCCCCCTCTCGTGTACTTTTAGTATGCACTACTCCACAATGCTTGCAACTACAGGGATCACTAAGAAATTGTTTCAAAGCTTACTTACTGCTAGTTAAGATAATGTAAATACTTCAATGTCCATGGATTGCCTACAGGTTTACTCCAGGTTTAATTCAAATTTGAAAGATCAGATATAATGTTAAAGAATAATAGTATACCACGTGAATTGTAATTTGATAGAATGTTTCATAACAACCTCCATGTATATTGAAAATGCAGTTAAAACTTTTATACTGTTATAAATATGGTAGAGATCTTTTTATTTTAACTTCTTATCAAAATACATATTGCTCTAAAACGAAGCTACTTTGCATTTGGTGTTTTTATATCATTTGTTTTGCTTTTCTTTTCCTTTTTTGAACATTGCCCTATCACATTTAAAACTAACATGTTGTGGATGAGTCTTCAGAAAATATTACGTGCCCAAATTATTTCATGGGTATTTCTGCAAATGTCATTGCAGAGCGCATAAAAAGCATCTTGTGCCAGGAAGGAGCTTTGCCAGTCCTAACTCTGCTTCTGCAGTCAGCTGATTCAGAAATTCAGGTATGAAATAGTGGAATGCTATAATCCTAGATGAATGGAGAGATTGTTCGTATGTGTTAACCACATGACTGTTAGAATCTTACCCTCAATAACCCTAACCTTCTTTATGTCAGCTGATACTTGTGGTGTTGTGACCCAAGGTCACTCTGGTCAGAAGATTTGACTTTTCCCTTTCTACAAACTTTCTACAGAGTGAATAGGCAAAACTATAGCAGCCCATCTCTCCCTTTTATCTAACTAAAAGGAGTATTGGGTGCAATATTTTTTGGGAAAGCAACCATTAAATATTTAATCTGTTATCAACTCCTATCCTCTTTACTCGTATTCATGGCTGTTCATATCAACAAGATTTTGAAGTGTTCATTTAAAAGGAACCTTTAGGATGGAAGTAATTGAGTTGCCATTGATGACCTGTTCATTTTTTCATGATCATCATCCTTGCTTTACTGCTTGGTGTAAGGTACTGGCCGTGGTCTGGTAGGATCTCAGCTACAGACAGTAATGCACCATGGAATAAGTAGTAACAGGACTAAGTTGTGGCAATCAAAAGCAGTGTTTTAATCCAAGTAAAGTCACATAGCAACAAACTGATAAGCATGGAACATGCAGTGGTTGTAATCCAAGTAAAGTCTATGAGCAGGTAATAGTAATGGTTGAAACAACCAGCAATGATGAATAGAAGTTCACCAGCTGGCCATAGGACACAGTGAATTGAGGTCATTGTTACCTGCAGGTTAGAGGCTGCCTGTGGCAGTATGCTGTGGTAAGAATCAGCTGTCCCAAGTGGGTTGCAGGACAGAGTCCTGAGAAGTGGTGTGGGGATTTAGACTCGTCTGGATCTCCTATCAGCACAGTAGGTCGGTATCTTCCTCCTTGCACGGACACTGGCTCACTGTGCAATCGTGGCTTGAAACAGCTGAGGCGGGGGAGCCAGCGAGCTCCGCACCTGGACTGGAGATCAGGCATGTATGTTACACTTGGTCACTGATTCATATGGGGAGCATGGGGCAAAAGAGGATGGGTCAGAGGTATTTAAGACCGAAATGTGCAGATGAGTGCTTTTGGTTTTAGTTCTTCTGGGATGCCCTGTAAGAAATGTAAGAATATATACATACTTATGATTCAGGCTCTCTACATGATCTAGTAGATGTATGTCTCCAATGAAAGTGAAAGAAGCCTGTGTGCAGGGCGTGTTTGTGCCCTTTTGCACTGTGGTCACAGTAGTTGCATTTAGTGTCCCAGATGTATATATTTGACATTTGCTCAATATTCTTTGTCTAGTTTTTACTAGGTTGGGTTTAAAACAACCTACTTTACCCAACAACATTGTCAATCATGAAACTCGTTTAAGTGGCTGCCCCACTTGTATCTGTAGTAGTAATTGTTCAATCTATAGTAAACTATAATGCTGTAGTATCTATTACTTGTTTTTGTAAAGCTCGAAAATACCTATTTTTACCTCTTCTGCATTACTTTTGAATAGGCATCTAATAATAATAATAATAATAATAAATACTAAGAGCTTGGCTATCTGTAACTAGGACTGTCTCTGGGGGCAAACTGTAACGCTGACGGTGGTCCTTCAATGGTATTATATGATGTCAAAACACATGGTTTGTAGTGTTGCAAAAAGCTAGTGTGTGTGTGTGTGTGTGTGTGTGTGTGTGTGTTTGTTTCACTTCTTATTATAAAGTAGTGTAGATGACGACAAATAATTGTTTTCACTCATTGCTTCCATTGACTTTGGGCATGGTTGTTGTTTGTTCTAGCCACAGAAATGTGAAGGTGTGACTCAATGCATTGAGTGTTACTAACATACGCACAACTGTTTTACTAGTTCTAAGATGGAAAACATATCTAAACACAACAGTTTGAAACGTGAGGCCTCTTAGGATATCATCTTAGAGCAAAATAATTACTTTGGATGAGTTGAGTTGTAGGGATTATATTACCCTGAGGAAGCCCACAGTGAAGTTTTTCCATCCTTTCTTCTTTGATCCTGCTGCTGTAAGTGTGGGGTTCCTATAGTCTGCGTGCCCATGCTGACATTTTCACTGCAAATAAACGACAACTAGATGGCTTTAACGGGAAACCACATAAAACGTTCTATTTAAAATCACCTGGTCTTGAATGCTATCCACATTTCACACAGTTTTTGTGTGGCCAGAGTACAAAGTTACAGGATGCAGTTTAGAAAGGCCGTGTGTGTGTGTGTGTGTGTTCAGGGGCTGTACAACCACAGCAAGGAGGGAAGGGACCTGGCAGTAGTTTCAGCACTGCCTTAAAAAACAGCTGACTAGGAAACCTTCCAGCACAGGGGATCTCTTTTTTTTTCTTCTTCACAGCACAGTCACTGCAGACAAACATTTGCACGGACCATCTAAATGCATGTGTATCCGGAGTGTATTGTAATTGTCTGCTGAAGTAGCAAATTGTAACACTAGAAAAGACCATGCTGTAAGACAGTTATTAATGGGGGCAGGTCTTCAGAATAGGACTCTCAGGTACCTGTATCTTTGCCCAAGAAGTAAAATGCATAGTTTAAAAAAACAAAACCATACATACATTTCTGCAATACATGCACATTTACTGGTACTTGTATCCCTTTAAAGACCCTGCAAGAATAGAAAAATACCTGTTGATCTACTATAAATGCACTCCGCTCTTTAACTTTGCAAGCACATTTGTGAAAATCTCCGTTTGTTTTCTGTCCCTATTCACACAGTATACTTAAAATACATTTTTTGAAATATTTCTTATCTGTTTAGTGGTGTCTGTTGAGCATGCCTTTGGACAGACTACAAGCTTCTCTACAATTTCAAAGTGGCAGGAAACTCTTGCTGTCCCCATAGAAAGACTAGAGACAAGTCCATGTTCATGCCTACGAGTAATGTAGCTCAAATCATGGAGCTTCAAAACGCTCAACACAGGGAATTCCATTGTTTTCTATGACCTTTGTTTACACCTTAGCATTTTGTGACCTGCAGAAAAATGCATGTTGCTGGAAAAAGTACATTAGCTCCTTTTCTGCAGATTCTTGGGTACCAGCTGAAAAGCGTGACTTAAGTTATACATATCAAAAACACGCAAACTAGAAAAAACACTAGATAAAAATGCACAAAAACGTTGTTGCCTAAGTGTGACTGGGACCTGAGCTTTATTTTATTAATATACAATGCTTCTACAGCTATTGATTAGATCTTCCAGCACAGTACAGATGAGATAATTATGGCAAACATCAAGCCCCCTACATTTCAGAGGGGAAAAAAAAGTTTATCTAAACTTTTTTTCAGTAAAGAGCAAAAAGAGAGAAGCAAAAATGTAAGCAGAATTTTATTTTTTTTAACAAGTTATGCTATGTGAATGAGAACAGGTAACAAACATAAAATAGGTGTTACCCCCAACTTAAAGTGACATTAAAGGATAACTCCCCCCCCACCCCCCAATGTTAATGTCAGCACTTACCTTAAATGATGTCTCTTAATCCGATCTTCCTCTTTCCTGATGTTTAGAATTACTGAAAATTTTTAGAAAAAAAGTTTTTTTTTACATTATGTTATAGAACAAACTAATTTTACCCACTTTTTTGGTAAAATATAAAAGACGGGGGTCACGTCGGGTAAATAGACACCAAACATGTCAAGCGTAAAAATTGCGCGCACTCGCAAAATCGCAAAAAACTAGCATACCCAAAATTGGCCATAGGCGACGCTTTAAAAGCTTTTACCGCTCATCAGTTTAGTGTTATCAGTGATTGATGGCCCTAGAACTATTGCTCTCATTCCGACGTTCGCGGCGATATGTAACATGTGCGGCGTAATGTGTGCAATCATCATTTTCGCAGGTATGCACACCTGACACATGTTTACATGCGTGTATGTAGGGGTGGGGACTTTAAAAAATGTGTTTTTGTTTTTTTAAATTCTTTTTTGTGTAACTTTAAAAAAATTGGGGGGGAAACTTTAAATTTTTTTACTATATTTTTCTTTTTTTTCACTTAGCAATAAAGTTATCACAGAGGGGGCTGAGAAACCCCCTTATGTGATAGCAAAAGAGGTGACAGGTCCTCTTTATGGAGACATCAGGGGTCTCCAAGACCCCTAATGTCACCTAGGACAGGACGTGTATACACGCCCAGTTACATCCCAAGAAGCTCCCGGCAAGCCGTGTATACACAGCGGCTGGCCGGGAGGTAGTTAAACTTTTTGCCTATATCTACTGCTTGCTAGCAGTAGATATAGGCAAAAAATGGAGGGTTTAGAACCCCTTTAACGGCAAAAGTGGAAATACACTTTAAGCCCTGTTGTGGACTGAGTAGTGTCAGCCCAGTCCTAATTGACTGATGTCTCTAACACGATTCAAGTGCACTAATAGAGACTAGCCCAAAATACACCCTTCTTTGCTCCATTCCAATCTGTTATGTCATCTTTGCACAAGGAATGCTGTTTCAGAGCAGAGACTATGGGTGTGCATGTAAATACACCCAACTGTAGACTCGTACAAGATATTTAGAACTCGCAAATGACAATTCTGCTTTTTATAGGGTTAAACAATCATTCTGCTGCATATTCCAGCAATAAACCAGGGTTATAAATGAGAAGTGGAACAAGGTCTTGAATATATTGTTGAGCTGGTAAAGCTTTAGGGATCATCATCATCAGAAACTTAATCTAAAGGGGGAAAAAGGTAGCCACTGCATAATGGGGTACATAGAACCATGCGTTTCCAAAGAATAGATAAAATGAGCTACAAAATATAAAAACTTGTAAAAAAGGTTGGAAAAACAGTATCCCATAGTTCTGATTGTGTGCATCCATAATGAGGAAAAGAGAACCGGAGCACAGATCAAGTGATTAGGTCCTGCTGCATCTCTAGTCATTTTTGTTGCCATAACTATATCTTAAAGTGACATTAAACCCTCACATTTTTTAACATAAAACAATACTGTAATGTGCGCCTTACTGTAATCCATGGTAGTTTCCCTTCTCTTTGCTACTCTT